TACTTAATAGTAATGGTACCTCATACAGTAGCTAAACAGGATTAAACAAGACAGGGTCTCAGTCAGCACACAGAGGTGGTCAGAAAAGTCTTAGTTTTTGTTACTGGTGTTGCTGCTGAAAGCTGTGAGGTCTAAAGATCTATAAATAAAACTAAGATTTTAGTCCCTTACCTCAAGTAATCTTATCCTGACCAATAGTGGTTATCTAGACTTTTGAGACAAAAGGCATGTAACAATAACAAAATGTCGGTTTCATGACTATACCCCTTCACAGCTGTAGGATGACTGTAGCTGTGTCATCTGACCCAAGAGGCACCAAATATTTTTGGTGACAGGGAGAAATCTTACCACACATTCGGCCTCTCAGCACGGAGCCTGGTCTGCAGAAGAGGAAAGCCTTTTCTGTTTCTAAGGAATTGCTGTCAGCTACAAGCATTTCAGAGGCAAGCTGAAAGGAATACATGGGCTCCTTAGTAAGGGTCCTTTTCAGTCGATTTGTGATAGTTTCCAACGTCTTAATGAGCCGCTGCTGATTTTCCAATTCAAGGGTATCGTTTCTTTCATCGGGTAATGGCACACTAGCTGAGATAAAAACAAAACAAAAGAAAACATAACACACACACATGCCGTGTTGCAGCAAACCATTTGGAGTGAGTTTCCACCCTAAAAAAATGACTTGCATTAACTTTAAAAATGCACTCCAATATACAGTAGGTGCAGACAAATAGTGTTTGATTCCACTTATACGAGGGACCTAGAATAGTCAAATTCAAAGTCAGAAAGGACAGTAGTAGTAGATCCTGGGGTCAGGTCTGGGGTGGGGAGCGGGAATGGGGACTTACTGTTTAATGGTGATAGAGTTCCAGTTTAGGAAAGTGAAAAATCCAGGAGATAGATGATGGTGGGAGATGATGCATGTATTTAATGCCACTGAATTGTACAGTTAAATATGGTTAAAATAGTATGTTTTATATTTTGTGACTTTTAAATCACAATTAAAAAAACACTCCAGGAAAGATACACACAAATTTAAATATTATTTACTGAGTAGCTAGTATATAGAGAATATTAAGAACAACATGTTTTGTTTTAATCCTTCTGTCCTATGCTGGATTTATATCACCATTTTGTAGAGTTCTTAATGATTACATATTCAGTTCCAGCTAACTCTCATTTTTTAAAAACAGGCCTCAGTTCATCATGTCAAGATGAATATGAAGCTGGGGGCCTGTTGCTATGAGAATCGTAAAATATATCTGTGATATTATGAAAAATAATAGAACAGGTGATTGCATTTGCCCTAATATACAGTTCCAGGGTAATTTCCTAATAATGACAACACATAGAAAGTTTGAAAATAGATCTCCAACCAAGAATTTTCTATTAACCTTTTCAAACAGACAGTCTATTCTTACCTGTGATGTTAAAAATTAACCTGATTTTGTGGTCAGATAATGGGGCACTTCTTTCTACCCGTGAAGACCTGGCTTTGCCAGCACCCGTGGGTGTTTCTCGCACTGTGTCCTGGAAGTCACCATATGAGTAATCCAGCCTGTTGGCTGCACCCCAGCCACCAGGTCCTGAAAAGTTGGAGCAGAGAAACAAAAGATTGAAGAGCTGCATCTTTATCAGCTTTTAGGGTCTAATGTTAAGCCACAAATTACATTGTCTTTGATCACTATTTAAATTGCCCATAATGTTCTACATATAAAGTTTTTGCCTGTAATTTTATACTGTAATTTTGGGCACTTCATATTAAATTTAGATTAGCAATGAACAAGGAAAACTATTTATAGAGCAAACCATTCTATCTTTGGCCTAATAATTAATTATCATAGGTTTAGAGGAAACAGGAGGTGGGTATAGATTTCTATTTCCCTTCAGGGTTTGTTCCATTCTTGTCTTTTTTAATATGAGTGTCATAAACTGAATGTGCATAATCAGATTTCCCTTTGTGAAGATTATTCAAGATATTTGCATATCTGTATATTTTAAATATAAACAAGCTGTATTTAACAAAGCTAATACTTTGTGTATATTATTTGCTAATCATTTTTCAAATTTTCTCAACAATACATTATATAATATTTCTGTGTCAAACAGTTTAATATCTTTTTCTGTA